CACACACACACACACACACACACACACACACACACACACACACACACACACACACACACCGCACTTATCTTGATTGCCGCTTATAATTTATCCAAGAAATGTTGCTTCTTCTTCAGAGAAAGTAGGACATTCCACAGGTTATCTAAAAATATTGTCTAGTTCACTTTTGTGCAAGTAAGGATTGACAATGCCGATTCTTTGAACGATATCACAGATATAATATGGCATTTTCTAGAATGTGAAAGGGGCGAAAATGGTGGTCATACCTGGTATTATTTTGCATTCTGCCCACTGGCAGCATAATGACTCAACAGTTAAATAGAACATGATATTTTAAATGTAGAAAGACATAAGGTTTTAAACCTTAAAACTATGTGGAGGAGGGGGGGGGGGTTAACATCATGAAAACGTGACCCTGTCCTTTATAAGAACAATAATCTGAAAGTGGAAAACGCCGTTTCTATTGGAATTGAATCAACATAAAGGCTTTGAACAGTTGACTCCCATTAGGAAAGCAGAAAGTAAACAAGGCAGGGGTGGACCCGGGGAAACTTATTAATCAGGAAAACCTGAACAGAGGGATGACAGGGAAACGCCAGAATAATATAGGTATTTAGACAGCATCCGAACGGAGAAATAGATGGAGAACCCTGATCGCCAGTGTCTGTTTCAGATCTGTTTGACGATGATGTTTGGGTGTAATGGACTCAGAATACAGAGAAAAAGTTGATGAATCAACAATGTGGCAGCACGTGTTACCGACAAGGCTAAGGATTTGGAGTAGGACTTTTTCAGATTTTGTTTTTGTTTTGTTTGTTTGTTTATTTGTTTGTTTTTGTTGGGAGGGGGGGTTGGAGGGGTTAAAGGCGTGAGTATTTGTAAAGGTTATGGTTAATAATGCAATAGCCTGTTAGAGAATAATATGTCTTCATTATAATGCTAATTAAGGCAGGGCCCTTTTCTCTGGAGAACTGCCTTGATAAAGGGACATTGAAAGTTGTTCTTTCAGTGTTCCGATCAGCAAAGTTTAAAAGTGCCACGTTCACACATAAGCTTGTCCCCTTTTTTGTGTGGAATGGGGGAGGAGTGGCTGGCAGCACACAATCACATCATAAACAACATCATTTACACTTGGGAAAAATATCTCCCACTTCCTACAACCTGATATTAGGCTTTAGGGCCCAGTGATAATTGTCTTATCATCATCGTCCTCATCACCAGCAGCAACATCAACATCTTAGTAAAAACAAAAGAAAGGGGGAAAACAATCTTGGGACACTTTTCGATCCATCATATTCGTCATCACCATCATCATCATCATCATCATCATCATCATCATCATCATCATCATCATCATCATCGTCGTCATCATCATCATCATCATCATCATCATCATCATCATCATCATCAGCAGCAGCAGCAGCAGTAATAATTGAATAAATGACAACAACAGCAACAATGACAACAACAACAAAAATAGATGTATTATGACAATAATAATATTATTACCTGATCATCCGGCTGCGCCCAGAACGTGGCTATCCCTGCCCGTACTCTGTTCTTGAACCCGCGGACTGTACCTTTCGAGCTCACGATCTGCCTCTCGTGCACAGACTTGGGGTCACGCACGTCCCTCCGACCCACAAACACCGGATCGGCCTGCGCGGGTGATGAAGGAACAACGTTGAACCTCTTCATCATCGGAGGTGACGCAATGAAAAACTGGTCCCGCTCTTCACTTTCGAGGTCAGCATCCGAACTTCCGGAAGATCCCTGGAACGGTGAAGGGCAAGACTGCACTGTCGCTTCCGGGTTGTGGTAGGCAAACGCGGAGTGCGAGTTTGTTCCGTTGGCGAGCGGAGCTTTCGCTGGCAGTGTTTGAGATTGGTTGAACTGTGGCCCGTTGGTGTAATAATTCGGTGTGGAGTTCGTGGTTGGAGGAGATGTGTGCATGTGGCTAAATTCTTCCGATATAGTGGAAATTGGAGAGCTGTGGCGTGTGTTTGTTTGTTGCAAGTCTTGTTGGGGACTATAATCGTAGGGTGAAGAATACGAAGAGGCACGAGCTTTGTTCTTTAAAATCTCGTTTTGTCGATCATATTCATTTTGATTTCCATTCACTTGGCTATGTTCCGAAGAGTGCCGTCTCGGTATTGGACTCGTTCCGTTCACCATGATTGAAGTTGTGTAGCCCCCTTTCCCAGCGTTTGTTGGCACAGACTGTATAATCCTACCGTTTTCTGAAGCACCAATATACCCATGACTGACGTCAGTAGGTATTGTGTACACGTCACTTCCGTTGATGAAGGTCGTGGGCACATCATCTGGGTGTGACCCTTGACCTATCTCAGCGAGAGGTTCTCCCTGGCATTCCCGCATGCTCTCCTTGCCAAAAGCAGCGGGCTTCACAAAGTTCCGGAACATTGGCGATGGCTGAGGAAGATTTAAAGCACAAAATAAAAATCAGAACAAAATCTATATTTTAACAGCTCTATGTTAAGCAGCAGTTAGGCTAGGGACGTCAGCACGTGAAAATTCAGATTAATACATACGACCCAGTAACGGGTACACCATTTAGAAGTTTGAATACTGTCTTTGTTCTGTTAAGTGCTCGTCTTTCTCTTTATCTGTCTCGCTGTCTCTCCCCCCTCCTCTCTCTCTCTCTTTCTCTCTCTCTCTCTCTCTCTCTCTCTCT